TGCTTTCTCTCATGCATATTTAAAAACATGTTTAATGTTCTGCTCCCTCTGCTGGCAAAGACACAGTAACGTGTTCCCAAAAAGGGGCCCTCAGTTAATTACCAGTACAGTAACAACAGAGCTCTGAAATGCAAGATAAAATGAAGTTGACATAAATGTCCAACAATGAATTAGTCTGATTAAGAATAATATCAACTTTACTCTCTTTAAGGACAAAACAGTAAGTGAGAAAACGGTCAACCCCAAAAGGAAATGCACAACCCCAAAAGAAAACATTCTCACCCAGCAAAACGCGCTGCCTTCCTGTTGCAGATGCCTTTGGGCCAGGACCGGAGCTGTCCGAGCACCCGGGACTCCTTCCTTCTTCATGCTGCTCACTTGTCACCGTCCCCCATCCTTCTGCTGCCTTCAAGCGTCCCCCAAATCCCTGATCAGGATCAGGGAATCCTGTCGCCAGCACGGATCGGGCTTCCCTCCACAGTGTCCTGGAAATCAGTGACCAAACTACAGCCGCATCTGCCTTTAGGGCAAGGTTGGCTGCTCCTAACAAGGTTTATCTGGTTGTTCTCCAGAAACTTCCCTACGCTTTCTGACTAGCAGATGAGCTGGTGTCAACGTGCAGTCTGTCACCCTGGGCCTTTACTAGTCTTAAATAAAAGGCAAATCTTCTGTAGCAATTAACACTCAATATCTATTTTTAAATTCTATCTTCATACTTTCCACAAAACCCTATTTAGAAACTTTCAATAGTTAATGCTAACCAGTAGCACAGGCTGGTGAATGTTGGCTTCACTGCTGAAATATCAAGCACCAAGCAAATGTTACTTCCTTTTCTCCGGGCACAGCACTGAGACCAATTTCTGAACTCTCTCTGTACATTTCTATCACAGCAATCCTCACGAAAGAGCTCAGCAAACTGGGGTGATGCTCCTTCCTTGTGCAGTGCATCTGTGACACCTTAGGGCAGGAAGCACTTCCACTTCTGCAGAGGAGCTAAATTATGGCCAAATGGATCATATGTTGATGTCTATATGTAATAATAAATTCCATGAATAACATTTGTTAAGTACTCCTCTAGCTCTGGGAGGCGACTTACTCACTCTTTGTTTTTTTTGGAAAAAAATGTATAGTTGATGGGGTTGTATTCCTCCCAAATCCTTTCAAACTCGGCCAGAAAAGGCTTCACATACTCTGCGTCCTCCACGATCAGCACATTCTCCCGGTTGTTCTGGATGGCCTGGGTGGTCCAGTTGAGGGAGCCCGTGATGAGCATCTTCTTGTCCACGATAGCGAATTTGTGGTGCATGAAACCATCCTCCTGGTCATGACGTACCGGGATCCCTATAAAGACACAGAAACCTTCTCAGTGTTTCCTCTTCAGAGGCACAACCCAACGCTGTGGCAACTCTTCCCCCACTCCTTTGACTACTCCAAAAGGGTCTTTTTTTTGTCTTAAGAGTGCATATAAACAACATGTTGGGAACTGAAGCTGAAGGCGTCAGTCAAGCGGCCAGTTTTACCTTACAGGAGCCACCCAAGTGCCTACGTGGGTGCCAAGAGAACAAATGGCCGCGAGGGGCCACGCGCTGACCCTGCTGTCACGCAGCCACCACAGTGCCCACAAACAGTAATGACTGTCGGGAGCACCAAGTTACTGCCCCTTGCTCCTGCCCCCATGTTCATAGCTTCTGGTCAGAGCTGTGCCCCCCAGATGGACTTCTCTAGACGGAGGAATTACGTTTGCAGCTTCCCAGGGTGCAAGAAAACCTACTTCAAGAGTTCCCACCTCAAAGCCCACCTGCGCACTCACACTGGTGCGTAGGACACAAAAGTCTCTTGTTGCTATTGCTTTTGCTTCTGTCAGGGTGCTCCAAGGGGCGGGAGGTGATGGGGAAACATCTGCTCGTCTTGGAGAAGAAAGGAGGTTCATTCCCCCTGGGCACCCAAAACAGGGCAGACTTTGTTCTGAGACCTCAGACAACCCCGTAGTGCTAGCAGAATTTCACAGGCTTAGCCCCGTGTGTGTGTCATGTGTGGTACGAGTGGCATTCTGACCTTTGGAACTGGATCAGAGAGAATCGTGCAGGGTTTTGTTTGTTTGTTTTGTTTGGAGTATGGGAGGAGTTTGGTGTGCAAGTCAGCCTTGGTGGGTAGCTGGCCCTAATTCTGGGGGACAATGAGCTTCGTAAAGCTGCGCGGCCGGGCCGGCCCCGGCCCGCTGCGGACATCGTCCTTTCGAGCTGTTCCCGGCGAGGGAGGGGGGACGGGGTCGAGCGAACCACGGCAAAATGGACGCCACGGTGCCCGTGGGGTTCGTGTGTGCGTGCTCAGCACACACGGAGAAGCAGCTTTTCAGGGATAAAGAAACCTCCTCCTGCCCTCTGCGTCTCCGAGATGTAGCGTGAGGTGGTGAAAGACAGCTGCAGACAATTAAGTTCCACCGAGCGCAGCCTGCGCGTTGCAGCTAGCAGCAGCGCTGACGTGAGTGCCCACAGCCTAATCCCGGGGCTGCAGGAACGTGCCTGGACAGTGCGCAGTAATCCCGAGCACAGATCTGTTCTGGCAGGCGAGCACAGCTGCTCTCGGGCTACCCAGGCACCTTGTGTTCACAGATCTCAGCAACCTTCCCTTGTTCCCCGTGGAGATTTTGTAAGCGTTAATTTTCCAGACCCTGGCTCATAACTGATGGTGGTGTCAGGGGTTCTCTGGTCTTGAATATCACATCGTGCCTTAACCTTAATTATGACAGAATTCTGAAGTGGACCTGAACTCCTTTCACATAGATGAAGTAGTAGATCCCAGGACCAATCTTGGTCCACCCCTGGGCACAGCATCATCTGCAGCATTAAGCTAAAGAAGTATTTTTGAGGAATGTGTCACTCCCTCCTCATGGCAGCCCCCACAGGGATGACTTTCCTGCTACTAGAAATTCTACCTCAACACTCCCTCTTTTCCTAATTACTTCTGCCACTTAATTTGCTAGTAAAGGGCTTTATTTGTTCCTCAGTAGTAGCCCTAGCATGGGAGAAACAATATATTATTAACAGCTTTCTCTCCTATGGCTACAGCTTGATGCCTCTCCTGGCTCCTGTTTCCTTATGATATTTGGGGAAATGCAAACCTTTTTGTGACTCTGAAGTTGAATGAGTAACTGGTTCTTGAAATGACAGAGTAATGCTTACCTCTAAGTGTGTTTGAATATATTATAAACGTACCTGAGCATCTCTTGCAATATATTACTTTCTTACACACATGGGGCAAGTTAAGAGGAAAAGACCTGTTAAATTCTGTAAATTACATTTAGGCTAAAATGCAGAGATTATCCTGTGGAGTGAGTGTTGCTTTCCCCAACACATCCCAAAATACAGACACACATACACACACTTAATTAACTATTACATCAAGACAAAACTAGGCTTTATCCATTTTACAAAAATAGTTCTTAATAAGATTTAATGCCTGTCTCCATTTTACAGATGTTCCAGACAAAATATGCAGGTAGCTTTTTATACATAAGAACAGAACAAGTTGGAACATCCTCTCTGAGCTCGTCTTGTTTGAATGAGTGTAGTAGGTCACCTAGGTAAAACCTGCCTGTAACTTGTTAAAACATCCACGTTAATGTCAAGTTTTCCCAACAATGATCCAGGAAAAAAAAAAAAGACTTCACAACAAAAACAGTAATTCCTTACAATACAGTTAAGGAACAGCTGTTTAGGTAATAATAATAAAATGCACCAATGTTGTCATGAACCTAGTAAGCATTCAAAATAGTTAACATAAGGTTATATAGCAATGGAGCACTGATAGGTTAGATCTTTCCTGTTTAAGTTAATTAGGAAGCTAGAAAATTATATCTTAAGAAAATTATTTCTGAAGATAGAAGAGTACCAGAGACCGTACCCTTGAGAGGTTATTTTCATTGGATGTTCTGCATCCACAGGCAAAACAAGGTATTTTAGCCTCTGGAGAGAAAAGCAGACTGCATTTTGAGACATCCTGTCTTACAATTCTCCCTCCCAAACAAGATTTACAAAGCAAATGCCAAAACTGCCTCAAGTTAAGATATAAATAAATAAACTGGAGTGGTATGACTCCAACAAGATACTCTTGACTTATGCTACAACGGAAAATAGTCCTCTTCATAAATCTGAGCATTGAGTTATTTTAAATATTTTACATGTGATCCAAGCTCTGCAACTTGTCATTTATTTTTGGTTCTTCTTCTCCCAGACCTTTAGCACATATGAGGAATTCAGAGAGATTAGTTATATCCATTTCCAGAAGTTCCAGAGGTTGTCACAGGTATCTGAGTCTTGCCAAGGAAATCTTAAACTGAGGTCTACTGCCGTAGTATAGTACTTAGTGATGACTGAATGAGATTTTAATTAACTCAAGCTGTTAAAATTCAGCATGTTGCTGAATTTTAGTCTCGCGTTTGCAGGTCTAGATTTAGAGTTGAATTTCAGAAAAGACAGCAGCATTATTTATTAGCACTTACAAGTCCAGTCTCACAGCAATTAAGGAAAGACTCAAGTCACTCTTCAAGTTAGTCCACAAGAACAGTGAGGAATTTCCACCGTGCACCTAACGCGCGCCGCGGGCTCGGCAGCGATCGCTCCGCGTTCCCAGCGCTATCCAAGGGCAGCAAGCGAGGCCGGGCAGCCCTTAGTTCCGGGACTCCGAAGAGGTTGGGCTGCGAACTGTTGACATCAGGTGGGACTTGTACGTCTTGCTCAGGCCCGTCATCCAGAACTTGAGAAGCTTGACGTTGTCCTCCTCTGCAGCTCCCAGAATGCTCAACAGTTTTTGGGTGTCCTCTTTGGGTCTGCTGTCCACTTTGGTGAATTTAAAGAGGACCTTCACTTTGCTGCAGAAACAAGAAATTTCCTGTCACTATTACAACAGACCTGCACGTATCAAATTGAGCAGTGTGAGCAGAATGAGTGGTAGCATCCACTGGTGTCTACAGCAGCTAAATGTGAATAAAAGCTTTATATATTCCAAGGAAACTATTTTCACGCTTTAAAAATGAGAAAGCTGGGTGGGAAAGGAGTACAAAAAAGGGGAAATTAGTAACTATTTTCACTAGCAATGCTCCTAAGTCTAGTGTGTTTTTTTTCATTCCAGTGAAAAGTTAAATGATTAACTGGGACGAGTGGGAATCTTCCCTGGGAGGCACATTTAGCATCCATCTGGCCAAGTCAATGTTCAAATCCCAACAGTTCATGAATTATTTCACCTGAACTGCTCGCATCTTTGAAATGTAGTGCCTGAGGGTACAACCATGACATCTGTTTGGCATGTTGTCTTCACTAGAATGTAGTGTATGTTGACAGGCTTATACACATTTGCATACTTAATCGCCCTGATCTATATAAGGCAGGCAAGTATTGTCATGCAGGTAACTTACACATACATGAACTGAAGCATAAAGGCCGAGAACCAAAGAAAGTCAAAAAGGTAAATTAGTCTAGGGTGGAACTCTCACTCTTAGCTCCCAGCAGTGGAGTTTACAATTATCAAGACTAAAGTGAAAGTTTACTGCCTACAAATTTGTCCTTTACTCTGGAAAAAAGTCATTTGGGGATTCAGGCTGAGGCTGTTTCATTAAAAACAATGCAGTTGCACTTACTTCATCCACTCTTCCTTTAGGCAAACAAGGCACTGATCCACAACATCTACGGACAGGTTCTGGTTGGTCAGAGCAGCTTCAATTTTGTTTAAGATGGTAGGGCCAACTACAAGAACAGGAGGACAAAAAGGGTGAGAAAAAGGACTTGGAAATTACAGATTATCCACTGCATCTTTACTACTAATCATTGGCAAGGACTGATGCATTGATTCATTCTATAATCTATATGTATGTTTGTTCCACCCCTTAATCTGTTCCAGAGCACTGATTTGCACTCATTTTTCACTAGTACTTCCACCTGATTATTATTTCTACATGCAGAAGGCTATGCTATCAATAACAGCACAATTTCAACACAAGGTGAAAAGATAGCCTCCCTTGATTTAATTTCCATGGAAGAGGAGTTAAAGATCATCCCACCAAGGAAAAAAAATCTGATCCAAGAAGTAAAACAAGATTTTACCCTTTAAAGAATATGAGAACATATACACACACACAGGTTCAGGGGTCTTTGTTTTATTCAGACCCCCTGTTAAATGAAAGTTGCTTAGATTGTTTTATCTAGTCTCAAACCAAAAGCTAGTAGAAATGCAGGAGTTTCCTATAATATGAAAAAAAAAATCTTCATTTTTGTATAAAATCTCTTTTCATTCGGCAAGTATGCACCCTGTCTGACTATCCATCAAATAACTAACTTGCAGCTGGCCTGTACCTGTAAATGAGTTTTCCTTTTATTTTTGTGTATCTGTGTCTGAATGTCAATACAGTTGCATTTGACATCAAAAAAGATGATGTTTTCAAAGCACCCACCTCGATCTGCAGCAACAGGGCTACCGCTGGTGACAACAAACTCGTATTTGTTGAGGGACTGCTCATCCTCGAAGAGAGTTGGGTAGAGGTTTGTCCGGGTAGCAGCGCGAACCTCCACTAGGACTGCAAACTCTAGAGCAACAAAAGTCCAGAAAAACATCAACTGAAATAGCCCAGATTCTAAAAATGCAGCTACGTGCTTGCTCCAAGAAAGCTCAACTTGAGCAGCTTCTTGGTCCAGCAATCACCTTTGCTCATTAGGAACCAGTACAGTCAGCTACAGTGTTATCAGCACTGCCAGCAGATACCACACCAGTGGCACTAGTTTTAGTCCATGCAGTGTTGTTGTATGGCAGAAAGACTCAAAATAAATAAAAAAGTGAGAGAAAAAAAAAAGCCTTAGACACAAGATGGTAGGGAAAAAGAGAGGTTTCTGCAACAGATCCTTACCAGAGGATAGTATGTGGGATGGGATTTGTACATGGGGGCTAAGCCCGAGGAAGTTGCAGCGATACGCCTCTTCGTACTGGTCACTGTAGGGGATGATCCGCACGCAGCCGACAGGCAGCATGGTCTAGAGAAGGAAGGAGAAGTGTCAAGAGAAACACTGGAAATAAGCCAGTAAAGCATGATTTTCTCCCTGATTTGCAGGGCCAGTCAAGGCTTCTGAGCACCACTAATGAAGATTCAGCTGATTTGGGGGATCAGAGGTATCTTAATCAGCTTGGAAAACTATGCAGCTGCTACACAGAAGACAAAATGACTTTTTTTTTAAAAAAATACATAATTTAGAATACATTCTCCATCAGATTACATGTTACAGGTGGACCATTATGAACGCTTGACTACTAAAGAAATATGTGTAAAAACAGGTAGCCAAGAAGCAATGAAAAAAGTTCCTACCCGTAGCACCTCAAAAGCTGACTGCACAAGATCCATGTCTCGAGCTTTCCAGATGACCTGGTTCCCCATCAGCACATGCCAAGCCAGCATGCGGAATGCTGATGCTCCAAGAACCTGAAACAAAACCATTCTGCATTGGTAACAAAAATTAGTGAAATCACTACTTTGGCCTGTTAAATACATTACTTTCTCATAAGAAAACCACTAATGAAAAAGAAAAGGCACAGAAGTAACGTGAAAGTTTAGCAAGTTTTATACACAGAGTAATAAAACACCAGGATTAAGTGTGGGGTTTTTTTTTTGTTTTTTTTTAATGGGGGATCAGAGGTATCTTAAATCATCTTGGAAAACTATGCAGCTGCTACACAAAAGACAAAATGACTTTTTTTTTTTTAAATACATGATTTAGAATACATTATCCACCAGATTACATGTTACAGGTGGACCATTATGAATGCTTAACTACTAAAGAAATATGAACAGTACTCTCTCCATCCATGGTTTCAAGATGAAAGAACAGGAAAATATCACCATACCAACATGCCTAATCCCAGATCCAACTACACACTAAGCTAAATAATGGAAGAACACTTTATTTTCTAGCTTCCTCCAAATCCTTTAGTTGATTAGTGAAATCACTAGTCCATTTGTTGGCCAAGTTAGTGGGTTTGGTATAATGGCCACACACCCATTTGGAGTAGGACTACGCTTCTATTAGATGGTAACAACTTTCAAGCATTTCTCTGATCTGGGTCATGGAAGATGAAACAATATTCCTAGACAAACCTACACACGCACAAAGTTGCAGTACAGGGCGGCACACTGATACCTTCAAATATTCCAACAGAAGGAGACTAAAGAGATAAAATAGTATAAAAATCAAAAACATGGGATTTTATCTGCCAGAAGCATTCAGAAAAATAAGACGGTGAGAAAGGGACTGTGCAACAAATGCACTGAACCTTCTCCCTCAGGCAACTAGAAGAACTGAAGAAAAACTAAATCTGCACAGAACTATTTGTTTGGTTTGCACATTATTTATTTATTTTTTCCTCTCCATCACTTTTATTGTAAGAAAATAAAACTTGGCTTTGAAAGTGCTGCACAATCTCTGTTACTAGATTTTTGTCATTGCTCCTGGGAACAGGACAACTGCACAATTTGAGAGAAATCATATGATGACCTCCCATGTGATCATTAGAGGTCCAACAGAAAAGGACGA